CCCAGGCAGTAAAGAGCCATGAGATTCATACATCATCAATCCTTAGCTGCTCAAAATAGCTCCCAGCAGCTCTAATCTCCCTCTTCACTGTGAATAAAGCCTGTTCCCAAGGAAAAGGGTGTGAAGGAGCAGTTGAAGGCATTCAAACAAGTGCAAGCCTACCTCGGTCAAATGCCATTTTTACATCTTCGATGTGTTCAGTGAATCCAGAGACTCTGTAAAGGCCTTCTGACTGTAGTCCTGTTAAGAGAGAATCCAGGAGAGGAAGGCTTTAGCTGTAGCTTTCTGAAATACCTAAAACTGACTCTGATTTCCTGTTCACACTGCACACTCTTAGGAGATGAGCATCTAGACTTATGTACAGAATTAGGATATACGCTGCCTTCAGAATTTGGATGTGCCCGGCCCATTTTTTATGTACATTTCTCTTCATTGGCTTGTGCAGTGCTGGGGATCAGCTCCACTTCTTGTCTGGCATTGAAAAATGTTTAAGATTTTCATCAACCATGATTTCCAGCTATCTTTGTTCATCTGACAAGTGGATATGATTGCACTGCTTCAGACAGCAACCTGCTTTCTCCCTTGCATCATCCTAGCTCATGTGCCAGGCCACGTGTAAAAATATTACAGGTACACTGCTCAGGGGCCATATGTGGTGCTGGGAATTGAACCTGGGTTAACTATATGCAAGCAAGGACCTCACCTACTGTACTATCGCCCCAGATTCCTTGGTTTTATTTTTAATGGAAACAGTTCAAATTATACAGCCATCTTTGGTCAATCATAAACACAAGAATATACTAATCAAACAGGATTACAATTGTTATACATTTAAAGAACCAATCATACAAATAGATTCGGGAAAATAAAGTTCTAATGAGTGATGCTGGAAAGGTGATTGCATTATATTCAGAAGGAAAAAAATGAAGTTTCTGCTCTAGGTCTTATGGTTTTGCTTGTCCTACACCTGGCCAATCCCCCAAAGTGTTGGAGAGGATAGAGAAGTAGATTCAGATGCACATGTCAAACCCAAGGTTCCACATCACTTGATCACTTGACATCCTGTTACTCATCGATTTGCTTGAGTGGGCACCAGTAACATCTCTACTCGTCCCTGTTGCATGCTAGTGTAGCCCAATGGCGACTGTCCATTCTAGGACCATTAAGAGCCTCAAACCAATCGTTCAGGGTCTTGACAAAGAAGTCTGACCATCCCATAGGTGGGTGGCCACACAATCTTTTGATATTCTGTGGAATCCAGTCAGTAATGGCTCTAGTCCAGCGGTCGTCTCCAAATCTCATTACATGTCCAGCCCATCTGATTTTTGATGCCTTGGCAAAAGAGATAGCACCCCTGATTCTTGACTGTCGACAGAGGTCGGAACTCCGGATTCTTTCTCTCATTTGAGTGAAGCGTGGTACTCCAAGCATAGCTCTTTCGATTCCTCCTTGGGAGACCCAAATAGTGTTCTCATCCTGTTTTTGTAGGACCCAGGTCTCTGAGGCGTATGTTAATGCAGGAAGAACAGTGGAATTGAAGAGATGTGCCCAGAGCCCGAGGTTCTTCATTCTCTTAGCTATTTCTTCGACGCTCTTGAAGGCATTCCAAGCCTCTCTCTTCCTCCTGCGTAACTCAGGTGCCAGGTCATTCATCATGTTGACTTCTCGACCTAGGTACACATAACTGTTGCATTCGGACATGTTCATTCCATTGAGAGTGAATGAAACGTCAGGAACAAGACCGTTTCTCAAACATTGTCTTTGTGAGATTCAGTTGTAGTGCGACCTTTCCACACTCTTGGTCAAAGTCAGCCAGCATTTGTGCTGCTTGGCTAATGTTTGATGTTATTAGAACAGTGTCATCAGTGAAGAGGAGGTGGTGTAGTTGCCGACCGTCTATCTTGACTCCCATTCCTTCCCATTCCAGTCATCGCATGACGTGCTCAAGGGTGGCACTGAAGAGTTTCGGTGAAATGGTATCACCCTGCAGAACCTCTCTCTTGACATGGATGATCACTTCCTTGTAGAATGGTGAGATCCTGATAGTGAATCCATAATATAGATCATGGAGGATCCTGATGTATTCAGTTTGAACGCCCTGTTTGGCGAGGGCTTCCATGACCGCGTCAGTCAGCAGAATCAAAGGCCTTCTTTAAACCAATGAACGTTAGACAAAGAGGCATCTTGAACTCCTTAGAAACCTCAGTGAGCTTGGTTATCATGTGGATATGGTCGATCATGTTGAATCTTTTTCAGAACCTGGCTTGCTCGCATGGTTGTCCTTCATCTAGTGTTCTGCTAATCCTATTCAGGATGGATGGCTTGAGTAAACAGCTTGTAGATGACAGACAATAGGCAGATCAGGCAATAGTTGCCATGTCGTGGATGTTTCCCTTCTTGTACAGTAGTACGGTCCTGCTGTTTTTCCACTGGGATGGAACCTTGCATTCAGACAGTAGCGTGTGACGAGCCGAGCCAGTGTATTGATGAGAACTGATGGCAAGTTCTTCAGGTGTTCGAGTCTGACCTTGTCTGGGCTGGGTGCTCTTTGCTTCTTTACCAACGAAATGGCACATAGGATTTCAGAAGGGAGAACATTGGGAATGACATACCCATCCTGTGGAATTTGGTATGTGGGCAGGTGAATGTGGCAATGGAAGAGATCCAAGTAGAAGTCATGGGTAATCTTCTCCATTGCCCTTCTGGAAGATGTGATAGATCCATCAGGATGTCAGAGAGCAGTCATCTTGGTCTTATAGTTGGTTAAGAACAGAAGGGCATTGCAAGTGCTTTTCCCGGCTTCTGCCTCATCTGCCAGCACTGCTGCTCTTCTCTCTTTGAGGTCTTCCTTTATCACTTCTCTGCACTGCTTTATGAGCTCAGACATTCACTTGTGGTTGCCTGAGGCTTGCGCCAAGCCATGTTGGTAAATGAGTTTGAGAGTTTTCGAAGACAGGCGTTTTTTTGTGTCTATTTCTCTCTCGGCATTCCTTGCACAATCATGGAGGTGCTGAGACAGTTGATTGTATTCTTTGTCAATGTTGTCAAGATGGCATCTTCCCATGTTGCTGCAACAGTGCCAAAGAGCTCCCAGTTGGTGGTCATTTTGGGAGTTCTCTTCTTAAACTTTGCAGCCCTTTCTCCATGCTCCATGAAGTAGAATTTTGCATGAAGGAGACGGTGGTCCAATCCCATTTGGAATTTTGGGACAGCAGTGACATCAGTCAGGCAAAAACTTCGATTGAATATGATGTGGTCAGTTTTGATGTGGAATTGTCCACCGGGAGACTCCCATGGCCTTCTGGAACTGTGAGTTACCATGGATGGTCTTGGTCGACATGATAAACTCAGTCTCTCACCCTGTTCTTTCCATCCTAGGCCATGGGTCCCAATATGGAATTCTTTGGCTGATCTTCTGGTCCTATCTTGGCATTAAAATCATCGACAATGATCTTGTACAAGGTGTTGTCTTCTTTATAGAACTTCTCTAGCTCCATGTAGAACTTCTCAATTTCTTCTTCATCATAATTGGATGTTGGTGTGTAGACAACGAAGATAAAAACTGCCAGCAGTGAGCCACATCTATTCAAGTGTAATTGTCTGATTCGGGTTTTAGCATTTGAATGAATCAATGCTCATGGCCAAGTTTGTGTTGACAAGGACACCAACACCACGGTGCCTCTTTTTTTCACATGTTCCAAGGAACAGTTCTTGTCCAGTGTCAAAAATGGCGTGATGTGATTTATGCCTTCTCGTCTTGGTCAGACCAATGATGTCGTACTTGATCTTTCTTGCTTGCACCATCAGGTCCTCGATGGATGCATCTGATCCCAGTGTACATGCATGAAAAGTACAGTCATTTTTGTCCTTCTTCGTTTTGGCAGCCTAGTTCAACCTTGAGATCTTATCAGCCTCTCCTTCCTCATCCTTCTAATGCTGCCGTATTGGTGGCCCTTTCAGTGTCAGGGGAATCAGACTCATTATGTTTACTGGTTTGGTATGTCGAATATGCCATGGATAGCTTGCCAGGCTCTGCTGTGTGGGCAGGATACTCTCATAGCTTGCCAGGTTCTCCAAGAGGGATAGAGGCTTTTAGGGTGGCCTCTAATCGCCCTTGCAATTGTTCCCATGGTTCAAACCATATTTGATTCCCATCAAATATAGTGAGGTAATCTTGGAATATGGGTATTAAGGTTCCACATAATTACAGAAAAACAAGAAACAATAGAGTCTGCTGCTATGGCATATTTGTCAGCTTTCCTTTGTTCATCTGGGAAATATTCTACCATGTGCTGCCTGCATATATAAGGTCTACATCAGGGATAACGTGTATATGGCATAAATGCCATTTTTTCCCTCCTTTGGTGGCTATTGTGACTATCAAAAAAATTTTTTTCTTTGAAACGTGGCACATTCAGTCGTGCTCAGAGCTTACTCCTGGCTCTGTACTTGGGTGGGAGGACCATATGGGGTGCTGGGAATTGAACCTGGATCAGCCTCATGCACAGATCTTTTAAATATTTTCACTGTCCTGGAATAAAGAACTGATATTAGCAATAAACTGATATAATAGGAAATGCATATATTAATAAATGATTTCTTGAATTTTGGGCATGTGTATGGCATTGGCCCACATTGGAAGTACTCAAGATTTACTCCTGACTCTGTATTTAGGAGTAAGTTCTGGAAGCACTCAGAGAACCATGAGGTACGAGAAATCGAACCCTGATCAGTCACAGGCAAGACAAATGCCTTAATCTCTGTACTATCACTCTAGTCCTGACCAATGATTATTTACGTAGTAGAAGCATGTTTAGAACTTAGCTTTTAAATTTTTTTATAGTTTAGGTAATATGTTTAGCATGGTGTTTCAAGACTAGATTCAAATCTTGCCTCTGCCATTCAAATAAGATTAAAATGTTCTCTTACTTTCAAGGTGCTTTGACAATATACAGCTACGTCATTTATTTACATTGCTGGTTCTTTCTCTTTTCCTATAGGGACTGCACCCAGCAATACTGGATGGGAGTTGCCGAGGTCCACTCTGGCTGCTCCAGGGGGTACCAGACCCACTTCTGGAAGTGCTTTGCACCACTCTGGCTATACCTGGTGGTGGCTGGAGTCATGCAGTCCCAATTGTGGCACTCAGAGTCCTGAGTATGCCAGACATGTGCTCTACCACTTGATCAAGCTCTGCAGCCCCATTTCTCTGATTTGTAAAGTTAAAAATCCAATAACTCAAAATAAAGACTTAAAAAGTGCATTGAATGTATACATGGATAGTTTCTGTAGGAAAAAGAAATTGATTAAGCAATTTTGTTTTGTATGTGGCGTATATGTTTCTATGAGCATGAGGGTGTCCATGCAGATCACTATCTTAACAACAGACGAGTCCATCTGAAAGAAAGTTTCTTTGACAATGGTGAAAACATACAGGACAATTAAATCACTCAAATTAAAAAAAAAAAAAGCTTTCCCAAACCTCTTTCTTCAATTTCCCGAATGCACATGTCCACGACCATGGGTCTCTGTGTGTTGTGAGCCTTCACAAGTGTTGTGAGGTCACAGCAGTACACTTTCTTGATCCGCTTGAGGTCTGGCTGGCAGTCATTGGGAACGTGCTTAGAACACTGTTTGTGTACATTCAATCCACAGTCTGAAAACAAGGGAGTCACGTTAGTCTTGCCTCTCCTTTTGTCAAAGCCCAACACAAATGACATGTAACCAAAAATAAAAAGGAAAACACCCAAGGCTTTCTATGTCCCTCTGGACCAGCCATCCCATTTAGGGGTGACATTCTCTGGGACATGCATCTGAAATCTATCTTTATCCTCACACAAAACCCATCAAGCTTTTCCAGTTGTTGGACCACAAGAATAGAACATCTTACTGAGATGGTTTCCCAAAGAAGACCATTTTTGCAAACTGCTCCATGTGTTGGGAGAGGAGGGCGTTGAAACCCTTTGTGTCCTCATGTAAGCTTTTGGTTTGGTTGAACAGGGCTATGCAGGGATGCTGAGGGGACTGAGGCTTTGAGCAGTGGTTTCTCTCAAGTCCTCTATGCTCCTTTTGATGAAAGACGTTCCTTTCTCAGTATCAATCTCTGCTCCTTGGTTGGAGGAACCTTCACCATTGGTACTTCTGTCATTTCCTGGAAAATTTCAGTCCCTTTTTTCTCATTGGACATTTGTGCAGTCCATATCTCCTCTACTTGCCTTATTTTGATATGTCAATAGAATAATACGTAACTGGACATCAGTGGGAGGACATGAAAGCTTGCAACTTATAACAGTATATTGCCATGTAACACGATGATTAGAGTATAGAGTATTACAGTAATGTTGAAATTGAAAAGGTGCTTTTAAGTGCAAAGAACACATCAAAAGTCTGTTAACAGTTGGTATCCACTGACAGTTTTTCTGACAAGAAGGCAATGTCTACATTCTGAAAAATAAGATTTTAATTCAAAAGATTTTTAAATTTGAGTGACAGTCTACTAAAAAGTACCTTCCAATATTTTTTAGTATTCAAAGAAAAAACACTGCATGTGTGACACATATGTGGTCATGAATATTGTAATCACCTACTTTACTAAAAGTACCTAATTACAGTGAGAATTATAGTGACCTAAACTTTTGTAAAATCATCAAGAATAAATTTTTAAAAATGTGATATTCATGTAAGGTTTACTTACTGAGCTCTCTATCTTAATTCATCTTAATTTTATAGCATGAAAAATTCAGCAAAATGCAAGTAAACTGTATTAATACTTTTATAGATCCACCTAGTAAATATATAGCACTGTAGCACTGTCCACCTGTTCATTGATTTGCTCGAGAGGGCACCAGTAATGTCCACAACAAATTGTGAGACTTGTTGTTACTGTTTGGCATATCAAATACTTCACAGATAGCTTGCCAGGCTTTGCTGTGCGGGTTAGATACTCTCGGTAGCTTGCCAGGCTCTCCAAGAGGGGCGGAGAAATGGAACCCAGGTCGGCCGAATGCAAGGCAAACACCCTACCCACTGTGCTATCACTCCAGCCCAGTAAATATATATGTTGGCAAATTGAACAGAATTGGTTGTCTTACTTGGGTCCCTCTTTAATAAATGAGGATAATAATAGTACCTTCCTCCTATGATTATTATGAACATCAAATAAGTTAACTCTGAAGTGGTAGACTCATGTAGACTACGAATAAAAGAAAGCAAATATATCTATATAGAAAAACAAAGATGTCTGCTACATACTTGTTATTCCATTAGCATTCTACCGTGTTCTGAAATTTTTCATCTAAAATAATTTTTAAAAACTGTAGTAAAATAGACATAGCATAAAAGCATTTTCACAATTTTTGAGTATTCAGTTCAGCAACATTAAGTAAAGGTACACTGGGTATAGCCATAACCATCATCCTCTCCAAATTTTTTTTATGCTCTAAATTAAATCTATGACCATTAATAATAGCTCCTCATGTTCTTCTTCCCACAAGCCCTGGTGAACATCATTCTACTTTGTCTCACTATTGACTACTCCAGATTATATAAGTGGAATCACAGTTTTCTTTTTGTGAATGGCTTATTTTACTTAATAAATGCCTTCCAGTGATATCCATGTTGTAATGTGGCAGGATTTCCTTTATTTTCAGAATAATATTGTGTGAATATTTTGTTCAGCAATTTATTCACTGAAGAACACTTAGGGTGCTTTTACCTTTTGGTTCTTGTGAATAATATTGCTGTGAAAATGGGTGTGCAAAGTTTCCAGTGTGGCTTTCAGTAATTTGGGTATAGATCCAGACGTGAAACTGCTGGATATGATAATTAGTTTTTAATTTTTTTCAACTTTTTAAAGAAGATTTGAAGCCAACAGTGTATTTATAGAGTCAGATATATAACAATGAAACTGCTTATACTTTTTTAACTATATAAAATACAAAAAATTCAGTTTTACAAACCAATTTAATATGCTATAAGTCTGATTCATTTAAAATTAACCTAAACTATGTAAATGAAAGGCAATAGTAGCTCCTCCTAACTGTTAATGACCAGTTTTCAGTTTTCCTACCACTCAGTGAAAATATGAGGATAAAGAGTGACCACTGGAGACTACTAACATTATCAGCTTGAATGCTTTATTAAAAATAGAGAACAAATCCACTTTTATCCCAGAGAAAGATGTTGTTCATAGCTAACATGAATCCTACAATTTTGTTCTTGTAATGTTGACTTTGGAACAATTTCCTGCTGAAGTTGGATTATACCAGCAGTTGGGAATATTTTGGGTATGCCTGGGTTGTATAATCTGGACAGGCAGAATGAATGATCACTGAGTAACTAGAGTTTCTATCATTTCACTGAGCAGTAGAGCTGCAAGGTGCCTTGTAGTTCTGGGCATGTGTGCTTTTGTGTTAGTTGGGGAATCTCAAACCCTTGTAAATCACATTTACTTCTCTCAGAGCTTTGGAATAGAGACAAGCTGAGCTTCCTTGTAGCCAGGAAAACTGCTCGAACCTCCAGATAATTACCCACACTAATTGTTATATCTGATAGAGTATAAATTGAGAAGACTCTCACAAACAGAGACTTGATTTAAGGCGCCACGATCCTATGAAGTAAAGTGACAGTATGAGGAAATAGAGTATCATAATATAGTATTGTTAACTTATTTGAAAAGCTCCCTACAAGTCATATGAAAAAACTGTCCCTTAGCAAGGAAGAAATATCTTATGGGCTTGTTGGAAATCTGACCAAGAACACAAAATGTTGCTATTGTACAAGAAACAATTGCTTGCCAATCAAAAAGTGTGGCAAGATGAATTAGGAACCCCAGTTCATCACTAATTTGGCATCTCTTTGCTAGACTGTTAGACATATCTTAATCAGCTGTACTGTGTACTATTAGCAATGAGAATGCTAATGTCTGATTCCAGTTGGAAAATCACCTGAGGTTTCAAAGTGTTTTGAAAATAAGTAATAGCAAATTGCAATGTGTAGTTTCATAGCTAATCTGAAGGCAAACAAGACTGAGCACTAGCTCTGGAGTCAAATTAATGTTCCACCATTTACCATGTGACTAAGAGCAATTAACAATGATCTCTACACCTATTTCCTCTTTTTTAAAGAGGAGAATGACTGCCTCTCTCTTAAGTCTTGTGGGTGAGGCTAAATAGCATGATAGAAATAAATGCTTTGTCTGTGTCCGTTATGTGGTAAACATTTAGCAGTACAAGTGTATTTATGTCCTGCCTTTAAGAATTAACTGGTGCTAGAAAAAAGTATGGCTTTTTAATCTACAGTTTCCCCTAGAGATTGGTTACTTTTTCTTTGAAGCATTTGGCCTGTTTGGAGAGGCTGGTAGGCATCTAAGGAAATATACTTGCTTGGAATTCTTTCTTTTTGCCCACAAATAGAGGACATGTCTTTGTTCTACACACACAAGAATCTCATTAAGTGCTGAATGTTCCTGAAAGCTAGATTTTCATGTCAATTTGATCTTCCTGCCCAGTTCCAGAGAACTCTGAGACCCACAGTTCAGCAGAGTGGCACTTGATATATTTGCATAAAGTAGAAAAACAATTGTGTGTCTACCTGAGCAGCGGACGCCCTGGGCGATGAGCCCCCACATGAAGTTGGCACAGTATTCACACCAGTGTGGACCTCGGAACGTGTGAACCTGGGGCGCAGAGAGAAGGAACACAGCAGAAAATTTGGTTATTTGGGAGCAGATGATTCAAACAAGGAAGCAACAGAAGAAGAAATGAGGGCTCAAAGAGGCATGGGAGTCCCTTCCCGGGCCTCTTCTCTGCAGAGACAGACCTTCGAACAGGTCAGAGAAAACAGAGATGGGCTTTGACCCTGGCAGATCCTCTACCATGATCTACCAGACTCCAGCCTGTGTCAGAAAGGAATGTGGAAAAAGAATAAGATTACAGGGCCATGACATCAGCCTCTCACCACCCACAAGGCCCCGTGCCAACTAAACCCAAGATAGTCCAAGCTGGTGGCCACAACCTGCATTTAGCATGGCAAGTTCTGGAAGACAGAACTCAATTACTGTGTCCCTTTGACCAAAGTTGCCCCATCTATAGACTATCCAGGCAGGTAAAAATAAGACATGATTATGGGGTAATTAAAAGGTTCCAAGACCTAGAGCCACTTCCAAGAGAGGCATTAAAATAACTGAGGGTAGTTGAAA